AATCCCACCGGATAAAACTATTTTTTAACAACTCCTTGAACTTGTTCCACGACACCACTTTTTTCTCCTGCTTGCAATAGGATTTTCACCACGTCAACGCGTGCCTTGAAAGCTTCAATGTCACAAAAAAGATCTTCTCTTTTAACGAATGGCCATAGAGAGTAAAATAAATCTCCATACGCTCGATCCAATTATCAGGCCTTTCGACGTTAATACTCCCATCATAAACAGGAATCTCTATTCTGAAATCAATATTTAAATTTTGGTAGACCTTTACCCCCTTGATGTGGAACAACTCTGACGGTCTCGACCTCCTCATCGAAATCTGAATTTTCACTTTTCCTACCGGACTCTACAGGTTTTTTCTTAGACTTTGAAGATTTTCCCTTTTTGTTCCCTCCATGGATAAGATCGACGAGTTGTGTGAGAGTCGACCCGATTGTTTCGATCTGTTTTTCCAATGCATCAAGCCTCCCTGAGTTGTCGTTATCTGTCATCTTCTTCCTTGATTTTTAGACCTCTTCCAAAGAAATAAGGATCTCATTTAGCTTCTTGTATCGCGATCGAGTAAGGACCATGTATAGGACACCCCTTCACAGGATCTGATCGCTTTGATACCAACTTGATACAAGTCGCCGAACGAGTACCTTTGATCGCGAAATTATCAAAGGTGCAGATGAGAAAAATAGCAGGAACACACAAGACAATTCAATTAACGAAGAAAAATATCTTCTCTAGATTATGAAGAATAAAAGATTACAAAATCTTTCCTTACAATTTCTCTAGAATAAAGAACAATCTCCCTATTCTCTTTAAAATCTAATCTGATGTTTAGAAACCCTAAACAATACCTATTTATATGTCTAACAATGTGGATGTCAATCTCGTAAATAACCAAGTCCAATAGAACTTGGAATCTGCGTCAAGCAGTGTCCAGGTCAACCCAGAAAACACAATCCGATCGACCGACCTGCTTGGTCCGGTCAGTCAGCTAGAGCAAGGGTTTTTAACCCTGCAGGATTTTCTGATATCGGTCGACCGATGCTGATTTCGATCGACCAATCGGTTGACCGATGATGGATCCCGATTGATCGGCCAGAACACACGACTCTCGCCTGTAGCGTACACATTTCTGGTCGACCGGCCAGAAACCAAATGCTAGTTTTTCTAAGTTTTGCTATTTTCCTGCTTTTGACCACTTTTGCCGCCTTCGACGACTCCGCTCATGCTTCTATTCTCAAGTTATCCTGAGAATCGTCTATCCCCAAGCTCTCATTAGGATCGCTAAGCTCCCATGAGGATCGCTAAGCTCCCGAAGTAAGGAAGAAGATACACCCGTATCAAGCAGCATCTATTACCATCTCAAGGAAACTATGAAATTCCTAATCACCAATTAGCTAAGTTTTATTGTTAAACATTTTCTAAGAAAGTAAAACAAATTTGTAGCTATGATTTAGTCAACTAACATGGGAAGAAAAACATGGAATGAGTTGAGCTTAATAAAGTTATTTTATTTTAAGTATTTAACGGATGTATTTGTGACAAGTCTGTACCTCAAGTCTATACCTGAAGATTAGTAACAGATTTGTAACTAGTTTTTCATATGAAAGTTGGCTGGCGAGAATACAACCCCTGATTCAAGGTTTCCATATGAAGGTTCAAAAAGTAACTTCCCACATGTTAAACTTTTCTCGTCGTAAAGTTATAATTTTGAAAATAAATAGTTGTTCTTTGGTAAAATTGTACAACACAAATAATAGTTGAATAAATGGAAAGGCTAGGTTAGTATTCTAATAATAGAAGAAAAGTGCTAGAGAAATTTGGCAAGCAAGTGGAAATGGTTCTTGTATATGTACTTGCTTACTATATGAATAGTTTGTTATCGGTGCAATGGCATGAAAGCTCAAAATGCAAGTTTAATAGTTGATAAGATAGATATTATTTACAAAGTAAGATTGAAGACAAGTCTCACTTGTCATTCTTGTAAATATTGGTAATTGTTTTAGTACGCATACACACACTAATAGATAGATAATTTCACTCAAAGAGAATATAATTTATGGCTTCAATTTGGAAGTGGAAGTTTTTGTGCTTCATATACTCATTAAACTAGCATAGCTAAACTCATAACAACAACAGAAAATGATATTCATTTTGTAGAGATATAAATCTTGTACAAAACTCTCTCCAATAAAACAAACATATTGTTCAATTAAAGGATAATTGACACTATCAAACATATCAACTGCATGTTAGATATACTACATCAGAGTCTTTCAGCATATAACGATCAACCCAGTGTTTTTAAAGGCGCTATCGGGCGAGCGCCTCGCTCCGCGTCATGCTGTAGCGCCCCACAGCAAGTGCGGGACACTATGCTTGCGCGGGCGCTCACCAGAGGAGTGCCCTGCAGCACCTGCGGGCGTCGGCAAGGCGTACGCCTTGCTAACAGGGGAGAATCTCAGCTTTTTACAGTGGGTTATTAAGTACAAACCCGCTTCCCACTTAAACCTAAAACCAAAAAAGTGATTTTAGGGTTCTGTGGCTTCCTTCTCCCATTCTTTCTCCCGATTTCTCCTTATGGTCTCCACTCGGCAGCAACAAGCAACAAAGATGAGCGGCGACGGGCGACAGCGAGCTGCAATCGACGACAACATGGTGCAATCAACGACGACAAGCAGCTCTCGGCGACTGCGATCAGCGACGACAAGCAGCAGGTAAGTTCCTATGTTCCTTTCTGTTTGTTTTCTTTTGGTTTCCTTTTTTTTTCTTCTCAACGATATTTTCGGTCCTTTTCTTTTTTTTCTTTTCGTTTTGCATCTCTCTTCGCCCTTCTTGTTGTTTTCCCTGTTCATTTGCAAGTTTGCAACTAAACTTAAAATCTTGACTGTTAATTATTATTTGTCTCGAGTCTTGACTGTTAATTGTTAAGAGAGAATGGAAATTGATGAATTAGTTATAGACTTCACGACTTAAAGAAATAAGTTCACTCTTCTAAAGTTCTAAACTTGATTTGATTTTATTGTTAACTAACTTACAAAGAGAGATTAAATGTTAACTAACTTACTCTTCTTAGTTGTTAGTTCTTTATTAAGCTTTTTTATTATTATCGCTCTTGACTGTTAACTGTTTTTTTCTTTGGCTTGATATCAATGTATATAGTCATGATATTATGAACTAATTGCTTGCTTCTTATTAATACATAATTACATATCAGTCATGATTCTTAAAATTGTTCAAGCTTATTGGTGTAGTGCTACGAGTTTGATTAGTTTTATTATATTCAAAAAAATAGATTTAATTCTCTTAGATATATAGATATTGATTTGATTGATTTGTATAAATTACAGATACATACCAAGAAGAGAAATAGATTGGATCATAAAAGGTTGCAAGATCTAGTTTGTTGCAAGTACAACAAGGCTTTGAAGGAGATATTTGACTGCTGAGATTCTATTGATCCGATTAAGTTGGCTGATATAGATGAAAGCAATGAGTGGTTATTAGGATAGTTCGGTGAAGGTAAAAATGCAGAGAATGACTTGGTGGAGGGCAAGAACAACCTTACATATGGTGTCGTAAGAGATGCGATGGGAGCTGTAGAAGATGATGTTATATATCTAAGACTGACTAGTAGTAGGTTTCGAGGATCTTTGAGTGGTATTGGTTCATCGTCGAGGAGGGAGCCAGTTTCTGAGTCGGAAGATGAAGAGGAGCTTAATGATGAGGACACTGAAGAGGAGGATATTCCCCTTGAAGGGGATGATGATGATGTTAATAAGGATGATTAGAGTCATTAGGCTATTATTTTGCTACTTATTTACTTTGTTTTATTAGAATGCTTGCTTTGCTTGATGTTAGTGAACTCCTTAAGTGTTATAGCTGCTTAGTTGCTTTGTTTTGATGGATAACTTGATTTGCTTCAATGATTAAAACTTTATCTTATGATTTGGTAGTATATATTTTATTTATTGAGTCATTGGCATTTTCTATGTGAAACTTCACGAATATATATATTTTTTTCATGCATCTTGTATATCTTCAAAAATTTTATGGTCTGGAGTGCGCCTCGCTTCGCTCGGGCACGCTCATCGCATTGAGCCTTGCGCATGTGCGTGTAAACTGACTTTGCGCCCTGCATTGCTCCTCACGCATTGAAAACACTGAATCAACCTATAGTAAAAACCTGATGCAAAATTTCAATTTATCCTTATCCCTATATCCTTATATTTTCCCATCTATGTAAATATTAGTTGCTTTTTTATATAACCAATTGGAGGTGCAAGTCTTCTTGAAAAAGGAACACGTTGGGTTTGAGCTTGCAACTCGGAGTATCAATACTTTGGCAAAATATGTTAGCTGACCAATGAGTTAATCTAAGTAATCTTTTATTCTCAATAGAACGAGCAATTGATTAATGGATCAATCACCCTATGTTAATTTAGGATTTGAAGTGAAACTATTAATAGGTGAATCTATAGGTTTACTATCAGTTCACCTGCTCAAGTACAATCATCTATAGTTTAATAGATGATGATGATGACGATAATATGACTCGACTGAATCATATGTGAGAAAATTTATCTCTTCTAAAATAAATTAAAACATGGCAACAAAATAATGGACAACTGAAACATGTGAAATTACCAAGAAATTAACCCCAAAAAATGCAATGACGGGATATGAAACTAAGAAAATGCACCGTCAACAACTATAATTAGTGCATGAAAGGTGCACGTCAGATTGCCACAACTAGAAGCTACTAGTGGACTCGAATCACTCAATCGAAATCTCCAATCTATTTCTAGCCCTAAGTTTTCTAGTAACATGACCTAAACTGCAATCCTGAAAAATCAAGTAAATGATGAAATTAAACGAAAATTCTAGGAAAATAAAACAAAATCAAAAGACCCAAATTATAAAATTTCATTAATTCCTCTTCCATTACTCAAATCATCACGAAATCAAAAGCCCCAAAATGTAATTTATAGAATAATTACCTAAAATAGTAGTGATGGCGACGCAAGACTTCACTGAGTTTGACAGGGGTCAACGGCGATGCGAACAGCGACGGCCTTAGCACTCGAGCAGCTACGACCTCGAGATAATGAAGGCCTCAGAACTCGAGCAGCTACGACCTCGAGATGATGAAGATGAAGGATCAGAGACCCTCTCACTTCTAAGATCTGGCCAAAACATAATGAAATGAGGGCGTAAATTGGGCAAATTTTAGGGTTTAGGGTTTTCTTGTTGAGAATTTACTCTGTTAACGGAGGCAGTTAAGAAGATCGCTAGGGCTTGCTTCGATCTGAGATGAAAGTTGATCAGATTGCTAGGGTTCCAGGTTCAAGACTACGATGGATAGATTGGATTGATTTGAGATTCGGAGAAAGAGAGAGAGAGAGAGAGAGAGAGAGAGAGAGACGGGGACGCGAGAGAGAGATGGTGTGCTTGGATGGAGGGTAGAGGAGGGCTAAAATTTTAGCTTCAAATTGGAGGGTAAAGAAAAAGGATACCATTTTGTTTGTCTTGTTGTATTTTTGTAAAAAAAATATTATGGTGTTATATTTTTTCTTAAAATATTTTCAAAACATCATGTTAAGTGTTTTTATCAACATTAGTTTGATCTATTACAATATTAGTATTAAACATATTATTAATATATTATACATTAATTATAATAAAATATATTATAAATAAAATGTTATAATATTTAGTTTACATTATAATATAATCATACAGTATTAGTATAATATAATATATTAATATTTTTATATTATACTTTAATGAGTTATGTTATTTTATAATTATTATTATATTATAAATATTACATATTACGTTCAAATAATTATATACTTAATTATTTTGGTATATCAATTTGTTATTGTTATATATTATATAATATTTTTAAAATAATATTATTTTATTATTATTATTAGTATAATATTATACTATTATTAATATAATATTATACTATTATTAATATAATATAATATAATTAATAATGTTAATATTATTTTATTACTGCTATATTATTAATAAATTCATATATTACAAATGTTTTAATATTATATAATATATTATAGTTTCTAATATGTTAGAGTTTATTAATAATACTATAATAATTTATGATATAAATCAATATTATTATATTATGAATATATTATTTTTATATTATTATATTATTTCATATGATATTTTAATTATTATTTATTTATATTATTTAATAAATATTACTAATATATTTGATTAATTATAAGATAATATAGTATAATATAATAAGTATGTTGATAATAACTATATATTAATTATATTTAATATATTATGTTAGATATTATATTAACACCTCCTCAAATTGAAAACCAAAACACCAAACTTAAAACACGTAAAAGGTGTTTTCAAATAAGTGTTGTGTTTTTGGTTTGAGGATGGTTTAGCTTAAAAAACATCATGGTTTCCAAACGCATAGTTTTTTGTTTTTGGTAAAAACATCATGGTATCCAAACGGAGCCTTAATCTTCCTTTCATTCTGTTTCCTTATTCATCTTCCAAATAGGGCGAGAGAGAAAAGGAGACGACGGAGAGAGAGAAGTGGGCGAATGATTGTAATGGGTTGGTGATATATTTGGTTTTAATTTTTAGGGTTTCTGTCTATTAACCCAAAATTTTGCTCCAACTTATTTAAAATTTTATGAATACTCACAAACCTAATGTACTTCAACCCACTTATTTTTAAACTCAATCTGTACAATGCCCTCAATCTTTATATTGTATTTCCCCAATAAATACAAACTTCTAAAATTAACCTTCTTCCCTAGATAAACTCATCTCTCTCTTTCTCTCCTTCCTTTGTTTTACAAAATCAAAATCTAAGAGTGACCGACACGAATT